TGCGGCCAAAGGAGGTGTTGGCTTTGGGGATGACCAGTGAGATATACCCGCTGTAGCGCAGACTACGGGTGGGTGTTGCTATGGTGACCAATGAGCTAAGATAAGGCGGGGATTTGCCTAGCAGTGATTTATAGATGGCCTGGAGCCAGTGGGTTTGGAGACGAATATGTAGTGAGGACCAGCCAACAAGAGCGTACAGGTCACAGTGGTGGGTATTATATGGGGCTTTGGAGACAAAACGGATGGCACTGTGATAGACAACATCCAATTTGCTGAGTAGAGTGTTGGAGGCTATTTTGTAAATGACATCGCCGAAGTCAAGGATCGGTAGGATAGTCAGTTTTACGAGGGCATGTTTGGCAGCATGAGTGAAGGAGGCTTTGTTGCGAAATAGGAAACCGATTCTAGATTTAACTTTGGATTGGAGATTCTTAATGTGAGTCTGGAAGGAGAGTTTACAGTCTAACCAGACACCTAGATATTTGTAGTTGTCCACGTACTCTAGGTCAGACCCGTCTAGAGTAGTGATTCTAGTCGGGTGGGCGGGTGCAAGCAGCGTTCGGATGTTCGGATGTTAACCAGGATGTGGGTAGGTTTCTGCGGTCCTATTGCCAGGACCGGCCGGGGGAGTGGGCGGCTTTCATCCCCTGTGCAGAGATGGCCCAAAACTCCCTCCGCCACTCCTCCACTAACATGTCTCAGTTTCAGTGTGTACTAGGTTATCAGCCGGTCCTGGCACCTTGGCATCAGAGCCAGATCGAGGCACCTGCGGTGGATGAATGGTTTAGGCGCTCGGAGGAGACCTGGGACGCTGCCCATGTGTGCCTGCAACGGGCCATCAGGCGACAGAAGGCGAGCGCCGACCGCCACCACAGTGAGGCCCCGGTGTATGCACCGGGGGACCGGGTCTGGCTCTCGACCCGAAACCTGCCCCTTCGCCTGCCCTGCCGGAAGCTGGGTCCGCGGTATGTGGGGCCATTTAAAGTCCTGAGGAGACTGAACGAGGTATTTTAAAGGTTACAGCTCCCCCCTGATTACCGTATTAACCCCTCGTTCCATGTGTCTCTCCTCAGGCCGGTGGTAGCAGGTCCGCTCCAGCAGTCTAAGGTGCGGGAGGTTCCTCCGCCTCCTCTGGACATCGAGGGGACCCCGGCGTATACTGTATGAGCCATCATGGACTCAAGACGTCGGGTGAGGGGCCTTCAGTACCTCGTGGAGTGAGAGGGGTACGGTCCAGAGGAGAGATGCTGGGTGCCGGTGGAGGACATCCTGGACCCTTCCTTACTGCAAGAATTTCACAGTTTCCACCCGGATCGTCCTGCGCCTCGTCCTCCGGGACGTCCCCGAGGCCGGTGTTGGCACGCTGCTGGAGCCGCGCATCAAGGGGGGATGGGGGGTGTACTGTCACGACTTCCGCCGAAGTTGGTGCCTCTCCTTGTGTGGGCGGCTATCGGCGGTCGTCGTCACCGGCTTTCTAGCTGCCACCGATTTCCATTTGTTTTGTCTTGTTTGTACACATCTGGTTCCCATTGTATGATGATTATTTCCCTATTTAACCCTCTGTTTCCCACATGGTTTTGTGCGTGTTTGTTCGTTGTGTTGTGTCATACGCTTTTGTGAGCTGGTGTGTTTTCCCTGTGTGGAAATTAGTGTTTGTTTTTTACGAGTAAAGTACGTTGTGTACTCAGTTCTGTGTCCTGCGCCTGACTCCGTCCTACCGCTGCACATTTGACACCTGACAGCCAGTTTCATCATAGCGCTTGACGGTTTTCGCGACTGCACTTGCAGAAACTTTAAAAGTTCTTGAAATCTTCCGTATTAACTGACCTGCATGTCTTAACGTAACAATGTTTACTCCCAATAACTCAAGGCCTTTCCTGACTGATAAGAAGTCCTGTGAAAGGCAAATTAATGATGGACTGTAATTTCTCTTTGCTTATTTGAGCTGTTCTTGCCATAATATGGACTTGGTTTTTTACCAAATAGGGCTATCTTCTGTATACCCCCCTACATTGTCACAACACAACTGATTTGCTCAAATGCATTAAGAAGGAAATACATTCCACAAATTAACTTTAAAGAAGGCACATCTGTTAATTGAAATGCATTCCAGGTGACTACCTCATGAAACTGGTTGAGAGAATGCCAAGAGTATGCAAAGCTGTCATCAAGGCAAAGGGTGGCTATTTGAAGAATCTCAAATATACAAATGTTTAACACTTTTTTGGTTATTACATGATTCCATATGTGTTCTTTTATGGTTTTGATGTCTTCACTATCATTCTACAATGTAAAGAATTGTAAAAATAAAGAAAATCCCTTGAATGAGTAGGTGTGTCCAAACCTTTGACTTGTATTCAATATGTTACAATATAAATGACTATTTTTTTAAAATGTTATTGTTCTTTTTAGTCTTAGTCACCAGTTGTTTCTAGTTTCTGTGACCGCTGCCTTATTGAATTAGTAGGTGTGTCCAAACGTTTGACTGGTACTGTATATTTGAATATATATTGCAAATGGACCAATGCATTTACAGTGATTCTCTCTGAATTAGTGAAGGCAGCTGACATCCTGAGCTGATTAACATGTGACAAAACAGAACATAGAAACATCCTGTTGTCCAAAAACCTGTGTGCTTCAGATACATCATACATGTATACATTTAATTACAGAACAGTATAAAGTTATATGATACCTCTTCTACTAGTTACACAATAGCAGATATATGCATGACAACAACCATGGATGTGGACTGACACATACAAATTATAATGTTATTGACATTTAGTTAACTGAATAAAATAGTTAATTGACCATGAACATAAAGAGTAAAGGAGAGTAATACTGAGTAACAGTTAATGATAATAACACTTTTGGGGGGACAGCTGCTGGTTTGATATCCAGCTATGACCTTCCTCTCAGCCTGGGCTGTCAGAGAGAGGAAACAAGAAAGCATGAGGCGACAAAGACGTAAGAGGTAGCACAAAACTTGAACTATGGAAGACGATGTGGGTTGGAATTTCACATTGATGGGGTTTTGAGAAACTATATGTCTCTGCAAGTTGCTTTAGAGAAAAGCTGAATTACCTTTTTACCGTCTACAGAGGACCCTGGGTTTGGATGCTAGGAGAGTTGTGTGGAAGCAGGATAGAGGGACGGATTCAGTGGCGATTTTAGCATGTAAATCTTTGTGGGGCAAAGAAAAAAACGTGGGATGCATGCCAGCAAAGCCACTACACAACACAACACTAAACAATACATTCATTGCACTATAACAGTGACAAACAGTGCCCACAAACTGTTAGGGCCTACATAAAGCTGTCCCAACATCTTACCCCTGCTACACATGGCTAACAGCGGAGCCTTGTCTGGCAGCGAAACAGTTCATTCAGCCTCATTTACTGCCTTAAAAAAACTGACTCAGCTGGCTGACTTGCTTAAACAAATGTGGTTCTACTGACAATTGAGATGTACAAACTATGGCATAAGGGGACGACAAGCGGATAAGAGGCAATCCGTAATTTCGATTAAGACATTAATGAGCAAGCTAGAACGGACATAGTCAATGTAACTATTTGTTCAGCACCTTTGAAATGTACAGCGACAGAATTCAGAACATGGGCCGTCCTTACAGTGTTCTCCCTTTACACTAAGTCAGAACCGTAGGATAAATAACGGGGGCATATAAGCAGACAATGAAAGCGCTTACAATATTCGATGATTACATTTCTCTAAAACAGGCTATTGGCTACATGTGCACCACCAAGTCAGAACAGTAGGCGAAATTAAGACGGGAAAATAGACCAAATTGTTAGGGTGAGGCACATGGGTACTAACAGCTTACTACACAACATACACTTAGTATTACTTTCTTAGCTACAGTATACATATCTCCCTGGCATATTACATAATTTATGCAGCACCATACAATACATTTTTGGACTCACCTTGTTGTGCTGTTTTCACTTGAACAGGAAGGTGGCTCGGCGGTCCTTCGTGGGCAAATTTCGTCATCAAACTTTGTCATCAAAGTCTGGCATTCTCTGGATTTATGGTGCTTTCAAGACAACTGGGAACTCGGAAAAAAACAAGGTTGAATCATGATGACGTCAGTGATCTTCAGGTCGTAGCTCTAGAAAAAGGCCTGAGTTCCGGATTTACAATTCTGAGTTGGATGACTGTTCAAAACGTATTTTCCCAGTCGGAGCTAGTTTTTTCCCCGAGTTCCCAGTTGTCTTGAACTCAAGTCAGATTTCGCAGTTCTGAGTTAACAGTTGTTTTGAGTGCGGCACAAATCATGCTTCATTGACAGCATGGCCAATGTTGAATGTTTATCATTTTAAACTTGGAAAAGAGACCCTTAATTCCAGATTTGGGACCACACAGACACTCCACTGAATATCAGGCTAGAGATTGCTTTGCAATGCTTGCAGTTAGACACGGATTCCTTCCAAATCACTCATCGTTGTGTAATGTTAATGTCTAATGGCCGATGAGCACCGATACGTTTTATCTATAATTTCTCTTCATTATTTCTCTTCATATGACAAGGATTAAAGAGGATTTGCCAGTAGATTGTCGACTTGATTCATGATGATGACTGCTAGCTAAGATTTTGAAAGTATGATGTTGACATGATCAGTCTAATCAAAGCTACTGTAGATATAACGTGATTTGACATAATTTCATCTGTGGCCAATGACCTTGAGCCTTCTTGGATGGGCACTTCTAATGTAACTCCAAGGGGCTTGAATTTTCGGTGACGTAGTGTCCCCATGAGTGACAGAACATTGAGCCAATCATGGCGCAACTAGAGAACATTACCAACACATAGGCTCCGTATTTTCCTCTGACTGCCCCACCACCACAGAAAGCACTGAGCTAGGCTGAAGCACCTGCATTTAGGAGCTGCCTTACTCAAGAAAGCAAAAAAGAGACCATGTTTGTATGCAGCTTTATTAAGTCAATGTTTAAAAAAATTTTTTTTACATTGTTTGCAAACTGATATGTGACACGTATTAATGACAAAATAACATGCAAAACAGGCAAGCCTTTCAGGAGGTGGAGCTAAAATATAGACTGCATGAATGATACATAATTGGAACAATAAACATCTAGGCAAACAGTTATTCATTTCACATTGATTTCTGATTAGAATAAATGGCACTTTAGATGCGCCTTATCAAGTGCTTACTATAAGGTACAGCATTGTACCCTGTGCTTCCAATGAACATTGATTATACTAATACAAACAGAGTGAATTGCTACCACATACAACATAGTATACCGTGGTACATTCAAAACATGCACATAGATATAGTGCTGCCCGTTCTAGGCACAGTGCATCCATATTACTTGACATAATGTTGTTCTACTAGTAGTTTTACAGCGTACAGTTCTCTAACTGTACTTGGGACGGATGCAAATATATAAACTGTAAATGGCTTGGATTAATCTATATATAATATCTGTTTATCTGCAAGCTTGTGCAATTGTCCAGTGTAAGAGTGAAATGGAAAGTCAGAGAGAGAGTGATGGGATGGATGGAGAGATTAAAGAGAAAGGTAAAAGTGTTGAGGATCTTTGTCTTCAGGGTCCCTTTGGACAGGTTGAGAACTGAATGTACTCACCATTCTGAAACACAGAAGGAAAAACAGTTAAACGTTGAATTTGGAGCAGTGCTGTTCAATACAAAGACCAGCAGCGATAACTTCAAAGGCATGCTGGCTTTGCAATCTCTGCTACTAATCCACATACTGCATCTCAGAGAACATGTTTGCAGGCACCAGGCGGTCATCATACCAGACATCACAGAGAGACAATCACAAAAGCCAGGCAGACTACCACACAGCAAGGATTTGTGTCACAGTCTAATCGAACTCACCCAGGCAGCCATTTTGTATAATCACCTGTTCAAGCCAGGCTACAACGAGTGATACTCATGTAGATCACACAGAGATGCAACACATCACCATACAATGAGAGGACTGACACAGGTGAGTCACAGCAAAGAGTGAGGCATGACCACCAAGCACAGGAGAACCCAAAGCACTAGCCGTGGCTATTCCAGTGTTACCTCAGCATTAGCTCATAATCAACATGGGGAAAACCCAAAACCACAACATTTACCTCATAATTGTCATCAAACAGAGGCTGGAAGTAAGGAAAAAACATGTAATTGGAGCTCATGGTGAAGATTAATGAAACCATGTCCCTATTCTGTAGCCTACATGGTTTTACTTTAAATCTAGCCCAAATTGAATTTAATATAGTACATTCTGTAGGCTGCCACGGGTGCTTCACGCCACACCACAAGACCATTCATTCACAAGTTTGGATGGTAGTAATGTTTTAGTTGTAGTAAATCTATTGCGAATCTGATAAACATCTATAAAATCCGGTCAAATCTGTTAATACAGGGATGAGATGACACTCATTCTCATGTTGAAAAGTAAAACTATCAAAGTTGTATTACCTCATTTCTTTCATCTGACTGATGCGAGGAAAAAGCACAAGACATAAGTGGTGACAAGGAGGCTTTTAAATGAATGGGAAATTGTAACAAGTTGAAGACAGTAAAAGGTACAGTAAAATATTCTTCACTCCGTTTGATTTCAGTGAGCTCAGGTGGTATGGAGCATGCTTCAAAGTTGGGGAAAGAAGCTCTCTGAATTGAGGCAGAGATGTACAGTGCAATCGGAAAGTATTCAGACCCGTTGACTTTTTCCACATTTTGTTATTTTACAGCCTTATTCTACAATGTATTACATTGTTTTTTCCCCTCAATCTACACATAATACCCCATAATAACAAAGCGAAAACAGGTTTTTATAAATTTGAGCAAATGAATTAAAAATAAAAAACAGAAATACCTTATTTACATAAGTATTCAGACCCTTTGCTATGAGACTCAAAATTGAGCTCAGGTGCATCCTGTTTCCACTGATCATTACATTTACATTTACGTCATTTAGCAGACGCTCTTATCCAGAGCGACTTACAGTTAGTGCATACATTATTATTTTATCGAACCCACAACCCTAGCGTTGCAAACGCCATGCTCTACCAACTGAGCTACATCCCCTGCCGGCCAAATCCCTCCCCTACCCTGGACGACGCTGGGCCAATTGTGCGCGCCGCCCCATGGGTCTCCCGGTCGCGGCCGGCTACGACAGAGCCTGGATTCGAACCAGGATCTCTAGTGGCACAGTTTAGCACTGCGATGCAGTGCCTTAGACCACTGCGCCACTCGGGATCATCCTTGAGATGTTTCTACAACATGATTGGAGTCCATCTGTGGTAAATTCAATTGATTGGATATGATTTGGAAAGGCACACACCTGTCTATATAAGGTCCAACAGTTGACAGTGCATGTCAGAACAAAAACCAAGCCTTGAGGTCGAAGGAATTGTCCGTAGAGCACTGAGACAGGATTGTGTCGAGGCACAGATCTGGGAAAGGGTACCAAAACATTTCTGCAGCATTGAAGGTCCCCAAGAACACAGTGGCCTCCATCATTCTTAAATGGAATGAGTTTGGAACCACCAAGACTCTTCCTAGAGCTGGCCGCCCGGTCAAACTGAGCAATGGGGGGAGAAGGGCTTTGGTCAGGGAGGTGACCAAGAACCTGATGGTCACTCTGACAGAGCTCCAGAGTTCCTCTTTGGAGATGGGAGAACCTTCCAGAATGACAACCATCTCTGAAGCACTCCACCAATCAGGCCTTTATGGTAGAGTGGCCAGACGGAAGCCACTCCTCAGTAAAAGGCACATGACAGCCTGCTTATAGTTTGCCAAAAGGCACCTAAAGGACTCTCAGACCATGAGAAACAAGATTCTCTGGTCTGATGATACCAAGATTGAACCCCTTGGCCTGAATGCCAAGCATCACATCTGGAGGAAACCTGGCACCATCCCTACGGTGAAGCATGGTGGTGGCAGCATCATGCTGTGGGGATGTTTTTCAGTGGCAGGGACTGGGAGACTAGTCAGGATCGAGGGAAAGATTAATTGAGCAATGTACAGAGAGATCCATGATGAAAACCTGCTCCAGAGCGCTCAGGACCTCCGACTGGAGTGAAGGTTCACCTTCCAACAGGACAACAACCCTAAGCACACAGCCAAAGACAACGCAGGAGTGACTTCGGGACAAGTCTCTGAATGTCCTTGAGTGGCCCAGCCAGAGCCCGGACTTGAACCCGATCAAACATCTCTGGAGAGACCTGAAAATAGCTGTGCAGCGACGCTCCCCATCCAACCTGACAGAGCTTGAAAGGATCTAGGAGAAGAATGGGAAACTCCCCAAATACAGGTGTGCCAAGCTTGTAGCGTCATACCCAAGCAGACTCGAGGCTGTAATCGCTGCCAAAGGTGCTTCAACAAAACACTGAGTAAAGGGTCTGAATACTTATGTAATTGTGATATTTCCACTTTTAAAACCTGTTTTTGCTTTGTCATTATGGGGTATTGTGTGTAGATTGATGAGGAGAAAAAAACGATTTAATACATTTTAGAATAAGGCTGTAACGTAACAAAATGTGAGAAAAGTCAAAGGGTCTGAATACTTTCCAGATGCACTGTATGCTGTCGGAGGAGCATAGAGGAGAACAGCAAAGCTAGATGATAGTCCAACTCTTACCTAAGCATGGTCCTGGCTGACCCGGCGAATGAACTCCATCACAACTTCATTCCCCACAGCCTGAGCCTAAGAGAGAGAGGGAAAAGAAAAACCTAACGATCAGTCTTTCATAGTCTGGGTTACCTTTACCGTACATATCCTTTACTATCCATGTTACATAACTAGTCTGGGTTACCTTTACCGTACACATCCTTTACTATCCATGTTACATAACTAGTCTGGGTTACCTTTACCGTACACATCCTTTACTATCCATGTTACATAACTAGTCTGGGTTAACTTTACCGTACACATCCTTTACTGTCCTTGTTACATAACTAGTCTGGGTTAGCTTTACCGTACACATCCATGTTACATAACTAGTCTGGGTTACCTTTACCGTACACATCCTTTACTAGCCATGGTACATAACTAGTCTATGGTTATCTTTACTGTATACATCCTTTACTATTGTTGGGTACTAACTGCTAATCTTCAAATATGAAATATCCTTATTCATGTTACCATATTAGAACTGAGGGTATGGAAATCTACTGAGTGAGAAAGTTAACATTCTGTCAGAACATGTTATTGTTCAATCTCAGGTATCCTATGGAGAGGAGAAGGGTCACAGTCTGGTTCCAGTCAACAGATAAGGTGGGACAGCCGTGAGTTGGGGAGGAGTGAGGAATTTGGGCCAAGGTGAGGTCAGAGGAAGTGAGAAAGAACAGGCATCACTAAAGTCCTGTCTAGCAACAGAGATGTATTGGTTGTCCAGATGTGCAAGGAGGAGACTCAGCGTAGGAGGAAGGTATAAATATATGTGCTTGTGTAAACATCTCTTTGTCTTTGCAGCTGTTTGACCCATTGGGTGAATAAACTTGGTTTGAGCTTTGACTAGTTGTCCATTAGTTTTTCACTCTGTTTGTCAGAACTTAACCCTATCCATGTTACATAACGAGTCTGGGTTACCTTTACCGTACACATCCTTTACTATCCATGTTAAATAACTGTTCTGGCTTAACCCCCTGAAAAAATACTATAGTATACTATGGTATAAACACTATAGTATTCACTGTAGTGTTTTTGCAGGCTAAAGTCAGCAAAAACACTACAGTAAATACTACAGTCCGCAAAAACACTACAGCAAATACTACAGTCTGCATTAATATTTTAATTTTAACAGTAATTATTATAGTATATACTACAGTTTTTTACTACAGTATTTACACTATATTGAACTGTAAATACTACAGTACACAATGGTATCCTACAGTAAATACTGTAGTATTTTTGCGGACTGTAGTATACTGTAGTATTTGCTGTAATGTTTTTGTGGACTGTAGTATTTACTGTAGTGTTTTTGGGGACATTACTATTGTATTTATTATAGTGTTTTTATTTTATTATCTTTGACATAGAAGTGTGGGCTTTCTCCTTGAGGAAACCTACTGGAGAAATGCTAAAAGAGCACATTTTCCATAACCTGTAAGTAAGTAGGACTGGGGTCTGAACAGATAGGCTCAGAGATTCTGCTCTTTTCTATAACCCTGGACATTTACATTTACATTTTAGTCATTTAGCAGACGCTCTTATCCAGAGCGACTTACAGTTAGTGAATACATATATTTTTTTATACTGGCCCCCCGTGGGAATCATACCCACAACCCTGGCGTTGCAAACGCCATGCTCTATCAACTGAGCTACATCCCTGCCGGCCATTCCCTCCCCTACCCTGGACGACGCTGGGCCAATTGTGCACCGCCCATGAGTCTCCCGGTCGCGAATTGGACCCACTCCAATTCGCATACCGCCCTAACAGATGACACAATCTTAATTGCACTTCACACTGCCCTCTCCCACCTGGACAAGAGTGGAAATAACAATGTGAGAATGCTGTTCATAGACTACATCTCAACGTTCAACCCACAGTCCTCTCCAAGATCATCATCAATCTAGGGACCCTGGGACTGAACCCCTCTCTCTGCAACTGGAGGGGACTATGGACTTCCTGACGGGCCGGCCCCAGGTGGTGAAGGTAGGCAAATACACTCCGCCACGCTGACCCTCAACACGGGGGCCCCTCAGGAGTGTGTGATTAATCCCCTCCTGTACTCCCTCTTCACCCACGACTGCGTGGCCACGCACGACTCCAACACCCTCATCAAGTTTGCTGACGACATGACGGTGGTAGGCCTGATCCCGACGGCGATGAGACAGCCTACAGGGAGGAGGTCAGAGACTTGGTAGTGTGGTGCCAGGACAACAACCTCTCCTTCAACGTCAGTAAGACCAATGAGCTGATTGTGGACTATAGGAGAAAGAGGAGAGAGCACGCCACAATCCACATCGACGGGGCTGTTGTGGAGAGGGTTGAGAGCTTCAAGTTCCTTGGCTTCCACATCACTAAGGACTTAACATGGTCCACACACCCCCGCATAGTCATGAAGAGGGCACGGCAGCGCCTCTACTCCCTCAGGAAGTTGAAAAGATTTGGCATGGGCCCTCGGATCCTCAAAAAGTTATACAGCTGCACTATCGAGAGCATCTTGACTGGCTGCATCACCGCTTGGATTGGCAAATGCACCACCCTTGACCGCAAAGCGCTACAGAGGGTGGTGCGGACAGCCCAGTACATCACTGGGGCCAAGCTCCATGCCATCCAGGACCTCTATATCAGGCAGTGTCAGAGGAAGGCTGCTAAATAGCTAGACTGCAAAATAGTCAATGAATGGTTCCCAAACTATATGCACTGTCTATCTTGCACTGACCCTACGCACACTCACGGTTTTGTACTGAGTGTACAAAACATTAGGAACACTCTTTCAATGACAGACTGACCAGGTGAATCCAGGTGAAATCTATAATCCCTTATTGATGTCACCTGTTAAATCCACTTCAATCAGTGTAGAAGGGGAGGAGACAGGTTAAAGAAGGATTTTTAAGCCTTGAGACATGGATTGTGTATGTGTGCCATTCAGAGGGTGAATGGGCAAGAAATAAGATTTAAGTGCCTTTGAACAGGGTATGGTAGTAGGTGCCTGGCGCACCGGTTTGAGTGTGTCAAGAACTGCAATGCTGCTGGGTTTTCCCGTGTGTATCAAAAATGGTCCACCACCCAAAGGACATCCAGCCAACTTGACAGCTGTGGGAAGCATTGGAGTCAACATAGGCCAGCGTCCCTGTGGAATACTTCGACACCTTGTAAAGTCCATACCCTGACAAATTGAGGCTGTTCTGAGGACAAAAGGGGGTGCAACTCAATATTAGGAAGATGTTCCTAATGTTTTGTACACAGTGTACAGTGAGGGAAAAAAGTATTTGATCCCCTGCTGATTTTGTATGTTTGCCCACTGATAAAGAAATGATCAGTCTATAATTTTAATGGTAGGTTTATTTGAACAGTGAGAGACAGTATAACAACAAAGAAATCCTGAAAAACGCATGTCAAAGATGTTATGAATTTATTTGCATTTTAATGAGGGAAATAAGTATTTGACCCCCTCTCAATTAGAAAGATTTCTGGCTCACAGGTGTCTTTTATACAGGTAACGAGCTGAGATTAGGAGCACTCTCTTAATCTCAGCTTGTTACCTGTATAAAGACACCTGTCCACAGAAGCAATCAATAAATCAGATTCCAAACTCTCCACCATGGCCAAGATCAAAGAGCTCTCCATGGATGTCAGGGACAATATTGTAGACCTATACAAGGCTGGAATGGGCTACAAGACCATCGCCAAGCAGCTTGGTGAGAAGGTGACAACAGTTGGTGCGATTATTCGCAAATGGAAGAAACACAAAATACAGTGGGGAAAAAAAGTATTTAGTCAGCCACCAATTGTGCAAGTTCTCCCACTTAAAAAGATGAGAGAGGCCTGTAATGTTCATCATAGGTACACGTCAACTATGACAGACAGAATGAGAAAAAATTATCCAGAAAATCACATTGTAGGATTTTTAATGAATTTATTTGCTAATTATGGTGGAAAATAAGTATTTGGTCAATAACAAAAGTTTCTCAATACTTTGTTATATACCCTTTGTTGGCAATGACACAGGTCAAACGTTTTCTGTAAGTCTTCACAAGGTTTTCACACACTGTTGCTGGTATTTTGGCCCATTCCTCCATGAAGATCTCCTCTAGAGCAGTGATGTTTTGGGGCTGTCGCTGGGCAACACGGACTTTCAACTCCCTCCAAAGATTTTCTATGGGGTTGAGATCTGGAGACTGGCTAGGCCACTCCAGGACCTTGAAATGCTTCTTACGAAGCCACTCCTTTGTTGCCCGGGCGGTGTGTTTGGGATCATTGTCATGCTGAAAGACCCAGCCACGTTTCATATTCAATGCCCTTGCTGATGGAAGGAGGTTTTCACTCAAAATCTCACGATACATGGCCCCATTCATTCTTTCCTTTACACGGATCAGTCGTCCTGGTCCCTTTGCAGAAAAACAGCCCCAAAGCATGATGTTTCCACCCCCATGCTTCACAGTAGGTATGGTGTTCTTTGGATGCAACTCAGCATTCTTTGTCCTCCAAACACGACGAGTTGAGTTTTTACCAAAAAGTTATATTTTGGTTTCATCTGACCATATGACATTCTCCCAATCCTCTTCTGGATCATCCAAATGCACTCTAGCAAACTTCAGATGGGCCTGGACATGTACTGGCTTAAGCAGGGGGAAACGTCTGGCACTACGTCCCTGGCGGCGTAGTGTGTTACTGATGGTAGGCTTTGTTACTTTGGTCCCAGCTCTCTGCAGGTCATTCACTAGGTCCCCCCGTGTGGTTCTGGGATTTTTGCTCACCGTTCTTGTGATCATTTTGACCCCACGGGGTGAGTTCTTGCGTGGAGCCCCAGATCGAGGGAGATTATCAGTGATCTTGTATGTCTTCCATTTCCTAATAATTGCTCCCACAGTTGATTTCTTCAAACCAAGCTGCTTACCTATTGCAGATTCAGTCTTCCCAGCCTGGTGCAGGTCTACAATTTTGTTTCTGGTGTCCTTTGACAGCTCTTTGGTCTTGGCCATAGTGGAGTTTGGAGTGTGACTGTTTGAGGTTGTGGACAGGTGTCTTTTATACTGATAACAAGTTCAAACAGGTGCCATTAATACAGGTAACGAGTGGAGGACAGAGGAGCCTCTTAAAGAAGAAGTTACAGGTCTGTGAGAGCCAGAAATCTTGCTTGTTTGTAGTTGACCAAATACTTATTTTCCACCATAATTTGCAAATAAATTCATTAAAAATCCTACAATGTGATATTCTGGATTTTTTTTCCTCAATTTGTCTGTCATAGTTGACGTGTACCTATGATGAAAATTACAGGCCTCTCTCATCTTTTTAAGTGGGAGAACTTGCACAATTGGTGGCTGACTAAATACTTTTTTTCCCCACTGTAACTGTCAATCTCCCTCGGCCTGGGGCTCCATGCAAGATCTCACCTCGTGGAGTTGCAATGATCATGAGAACGGTGAGGAATCAGCCCAGAACTACACGGAGGATCTTGTCAATGATCTCAAGGCAGCTGGGACCATAGTCACCAAGAAAACAATTGGTAACACACTACGCCATGAAGGACTGAAACCCTGCAGCGCCCGCCAGGTCCCCCTGCTCAAGAAAGCACATATACAGGTCCGTCTGAGGTTTGCCAATGAACATCTGAATGATTCAGAGGAGAACTGGGTGAAAGTGTTGTGGTCAAATGAGACCAAAATCGAGCTCTTTGGCATCAACTCAACTTGCCGTGTTTGGCGAGGCAACAAAGGAGTGGCTCAAGAAGAAGCACATTAAGGTCCTGCAGTGGCCTAGCCAGTCTCCAGACCTTAATCCCATAGAAAATCTGTGGAGGTAGCTGAAGGTTCGAGTTGCCAAACGTCAGCCTCGAAACCTTAATGACTTGGAGAAGATCTGCAAAGAGGAGTGGGACAAAATCCCTCCTGAGTAAACCTGGTGGCCAACTACAAGAAACGTCTGACTTCTGTGATTGCCAACAAGAGTTTTGCCACCAAGTACTAAGTCATGTTTTGCAGACGGGTCAAATACTTATTTCTCTCATTAAAATGCAAAACAATTTATAACATTTTTGACATGCGTTTTTCTGGATTTTTTGGTTGTTATTCTGTCTCTCACTGTTCAAATAAACCTACCATTAAAATTATAGACTAATCATGTCTTTGTCAGTGGGCAAATGTACAAAATCAGTAGGGGATCAAATACTTTTTTCCCCACTGAATATACACACACACTCACACACACTACATTGACACTCCCACACACATACCGACACAACACAAACACACATACATACACACGCACACTTTTACACGCATTTGCTGCTGCTACTCTGTTATAGCAGGAAATAGGTGTGCTGAGCGTGCTGCAGCACCCCTGAAAAATCTAATTAAAAAATCTAATTAAATAATTTGCAGCACCCCCACCCCCAAATTACTTCCCCGGCTATGTACTCTGTTCTTTATTTTACTCTTATTATTATCTATCCTGACGCCTAGTCACTTTACCTTGCCTTCATGTACATGCCTACCTCAAATACCTCGTACCTCTACGCATTGATCTGGTACTCCCTGTATATGTAGGCCGCCATTGTAAGTAAGAATTTGTTCTTAACTGACTTGCTTAGTTAAATAAAGGTTAAATAAAATAAATAAATAAAAATATAGCTTCATTCTTGTGCATTTTATTCCTTGTGTTAGGATTTTATTTGTTTACTCTGGATCATTGGGAAGGGCTCGTAAGTAAAGTCTACACCAGTTGTACTCAGCGCATGTGACAAATAAAATGTGAATTGCAGGGAACAGAATATATGGTCTATACTTGTAGGTTTCTCACTTATGGGTGGCACAAATTGAGATATGGGGGAGGGGAATGGGCAGGGTATATGCAAATTAAATACTGTAGTATTGCTATAGTTTAAAAACGGTAGTGTTTTTGCGGGCAGTAGTGTTTTTGTGGACATTACTGTAGCATTTACTACAGTGTTTTTTGTGTGGATAATACAGTAGTATTTACTATAGTATTCTACAGTATACTAAAAAATTATATAGTAAGTACTACACATGATCGAGGGATACTACAGTGTGTAGTATAGTATTCAACAGTACACTACAAAATTCTATAGTAAGCTGTAGTAGTTTTTTATGTGGGACCTTAACCGTACTCATCCTTTACTATTCATGTTTGTAAGCAGGAGAGAGGCTCCCAGTCCCAAACACTCACCACCTCCATGGCCGTCTGCCCATTGTAGCCTCGTGTGTTCAGCTCTCCCCCGGCCAGGTGCCACATTTCCAGGCCCTCTGTGTCAGCCCTGGATGCCAGACTTTAACACATCAAACACCACCAGGGAATTATTCAAGTGGTTTCATGATAAAGGGAGTAAAACAACCAGATATCTACAGTAATAACATCAAGTTGTATTGTATAATCACACTAAACACACTCCTTGATTATGAAAAGGACTATGAGTATGCTTGTTTGCTTCCAGAGACAAAGGCCTTGCATCTAGTAAAAGACAAAATCTCTCCCGCTCCCTTTTCTAAAAGTGAGGATACCAGCCAGACAGAGCAGTTCATGGTTCTGTGGTGTTGGTGACGTTTGGATGCTGCAGAGGTCCAAAGCTATGCTGTCAGGGAGCATTTCAAGTGTTTACGTAAGACAACTGGGACAACTGGTCGTACCTGCACAAACTATGTAGGATGGGTCTTTGGGCAATGCATGTGTGAGAAAGTGCTGTGTGTGTCTCACCTGCACAGCTCTGAGCCTGCATTATTCAGCTCATCCCTGGAGAAATGGGCTCCTGTCTTTCTCAGCAGCTTCACCACCTCTTTGTGTCTGAATGGACAGAGAGACAGACAGACAGACATAGAGATATGACAAACAGTTTTCGAATACAGATGATATATACAGTGTACTACAATCAAGGAAAAGATGACGCGTGCAAAGCAAAATCAAGCTCACAGTGCGAGTCAGAGATCAGTTCAACTGAAACCATTAGGTATGCTTTATTATGACTGCAATGTGCATTAGTCATATTTCTAACAAGTTTTCATAGTCTCTGCTGACAGTGACAAGTTGTGGCACTGTGACTGGGTGCTAAACGAGTAGGGACAAGTTCCCCCACAGTTAACCACCCACATATGGAGCCTGAGCAGAACGTCTCAGCAGCTCCAAGGATGCACTACACAATGGTGGAGACAAAAGGCACAGCTTCATGTCCAGAATCTTGATTTTCATAGAATTTAAACTTAGAACATCCATCAAATGTTTAAGAGGTTAAATGGACACTACGTTATGAGTTGGTCATGCACGTTTAGCTCTACTTTGAGATAGGGTTTGGCCATAGAGACAGTGGCAAGCCTAGGCTAATGTATTTCAGTCCTTTTGTTAGAGACAAGGTACTGTTTCTGTTATCCATGAAACTGAGGACAGGCAGGTAAGACTGGTTCAAGACACTACCCTTCGTTGTACTGCGTTTCAATCCTTATATGGTCATCGGGAAGGAACAATAGTTGGCTTTTGAAATGTGGTTTAAACTTAGGAGGAAATTACATAAAGACAAACAAAAAAAAGAAATCCATGTCTGAAATAAAATGGTTATTTATTTCAAGTAACTCTTACAAAATGGAACATATTGCATTATCACTTGTAACAAAACAGAGATTTTGACAGTGTAAGAGAGCCAGAATGGGACATGGCTATTTCCCCAAGCAAGCAGGTGTCAGAGGTTAATTATGCTGCCAGGTTGAACATCCCATTCTGCCCTTCAGTACCAAGACAACATGGGCATGCCTATGCCTGCCCTTCCAACGGTTTATAGTCACCTCTCTCAATGCTTGCTCACACACAAACACACACACACACACACACACACACACACACACACACACACACACACACACACACACACACACACACACACACACACACACACATTAGAATTGGCTACTAGGGGCTTGAATCATAAGGGATGGGTGAACATCTACTGTAGAGGCAAAGCTGTTAGGACATATCATACTCCATTCCCCCCAAAATGTAAAGCTCTTGTCTTGACCCACGTTAGCTCAATCTTACCTGAAGCGTACAGCGTTGTGCAGGGGTGTGTCCCCATAGCGATCTCTGGCATAGACGCTGGCTCCCTGGCCCAGTAGATACTGCACCACTTTGAGGTGGCCCTCACAGGCAGCGATGTGCAGAGGGGTGCGTCCATCATAGTCCCCCAGACTCAGGTTACTGCCCTGATGACAAGAAACACATTACATACTGTAGGTTACGTTGCCATGGTATCACTGTGTATTATAAAACAGTGCATTGAGGTATCAAACCCATGTAGTGAATGTTGTGCTACACATTTACCTGGTGCATACCTTTCTGAACGGTGACAGTGGCCGTGTCTGAATACCCGTACTTGTGTTCTAAATAGTAGGCCTTTTTTGGTATGCAAAAATAGAAAGTTTGATAGTATGTGACATTTCACAATGTAGTATGCTTAAATGCCATGTCATACTCATTTTGGCTTTTCGTCTAGTAGAATTCGCTGCACACTATTTAGGAAGACAATCGTCTTTCCAGACCCACGTGTGTTTGACAGCAAGCAGCTGGTAATCATATAAGTGGATGCGCTGTTCCAAAAGGAACGTATGGCGGGAATCAATGTAATTGCGCATTAGATGACGTATTCTAAGTATGGATGAGCCTAGCGTGTTGATATTTGTTGCTTACTGCATTCGTTTTCACTAAACAGTACTGCTAAATAGTATGTAGTACGATTAGTACACAGCATGTCGATTTAGTAAGTAGTAGGGAAGACAGATTTCGGACACGGACAGTTTCATCTTGAATTGATAGATAATTTCTTTTTAAAAGAGTAGCCAACCCATTCCTCTATTCATACTGAAATATACCCCCTATAAAATAAGCTCCAAAAGAACAAATAAGTAGGTTATTTAAAATGAAATTGACTGGAAACACTAGGCAATCATCCTCATGTCAAAAGTTCACTGCAAAGGAGACCAAATCAAAATCTATCTTTGCATCTAACACAGTATGACTACTGAGACTCCAGTCGGCTATCTCATGAAACTCAGCAGGAATCTTTGGTACGCACTGCACTGGCCGGTTCAACCAGATGTACCGTGGGACTAAGGGAGTAATACAATCACACACATTTGACAGTGCAAAGTCTGTATTATCAGTCTGGGAACATGCGTGTCTTAGAACACTAACAACATATGGACTGAACTCTGTCCTACTGACAGTAAACATGTTGTTAGAACATGCGTTTTCTACTCCCCACCTCCCCCTTATAAAATATGAGGTTGTTGCAGTGATTATTTTTACTAACAGACATTGTAACAGGTTGTATTTAAATAACTGTTCCTCACCATCAACTTTATGGCATCTAAGGCCTCCACGTCTCCAATCTTAGAAGCAGCACAAGCTAAGCTGGGGTTAAGGGCATCCCTTATGGCTTCTAGCTCCTGGAAACATCAGTAGAGAAACATCATGACAACACAAAGGCTGACAATCAGTAAAGGAATGTTTTATGTAATGTGTTATGAGTGACGTAAAAAATACACTATAAAGTTGGATTCAACACATTCAAAAAAATCTACTTTAGACGAGTGGCGAGACAATTTCAGATGATGGCTTATGACATTCTTCCCCTAGCGCTGGGCATTAAAACGACTTGAGAAAGTAGTTTTTTGTACTTCAATGGGAGCTCTGTTCTCTCAGATAAGCCAGAGCCTGATAAAAACCTGTTAGGTGGAAAGTAACCCTGCAGTCTCAGTGGTGATGACAGTGTGTGTGTATGTGTGATGTGGCCGGCAGTGAGGTGGCCTCACCTCCTTACAACTGATGTTCAGGGAATTGGCGATGACCTGAATGAAGTGACTGTTGCTCAGAGTGAGCTTGGCCCCGTGCAGATCAGCGATCATCTCCCCCCGCATGTTCTGACTCAGCATCTGGACACGTAACACACAGAGAGCACAACACAGACACAGTCAGGGCAACACAGACAGCACAACACAGACACAGTCAGGGTAACACAGACAGCACAACACAGACACAGTCAGGGAAACACAGACAGCACAACACAGACACAGTCAGGGCAACACAGACACAGTCAGGCATGATCAAAGATGTCATCAGCTTGTCACTTCTATGATCCTTTTATCTCCATGTGAATCATCTCTGATTTCTACCTCTGTTTACATTCTAATTTGTTTCATACATAGGACTCACGGAGATGTCACTAGGGTTGGGCTTCAGAATTCTCTCTACAAGGGGCAAACATTGTGTAGTGATTGAAGGACTGTGCGTTTAGACTGTGAATCCTACCTTCCTCTTGTCCTCTATGCTGAGCTCCTTGGCCAGCACGTAGGACAGCTTGCACAGGGCAGCCTCAGGAGTCATGTCACTGCCTGCCACCAGCCCTGCGTCACTCAGGGCCTGAGGGAACCAGGAAGAAACGTTAAGAACACACATCCATCTTCATCCTACTCTCCCACTAAACATACATGGTCTTCTGGTCTACCTTTCCGGTGGCATATAATGTGGTGACAGAACCCCTCAGACACTGGGTGCAGTTGACCATGATCACGCCCCTCTCTGTGGCATTCCGGAACTCCTCCAGCAGGTCAGCACGGTTGTCAGGGGCGTTACCACTACCGTACGTCTCCAGGACGATGCCCTCCATGGGCACCTGCAGGAAGGACTTCACCTGTAGAGAAAGAGAGAGCGAGATGAGAGGCCATTTTAGCCTGTCTGGTGGGAAAAGATAGGGAGAGAAGTGTACAGAGCTAGGATAGGGTTTAACAACAGGCCCAGACCTCACCAGCCCCCCCAGCCCATCTGGTGCCCATGCCACCCGGGCTGTCTCTCAGTCTCAGGGTGATTCACTGGCTCTAGGAAAGCTCTTTACCACACCAGCCCTGGCATCTGGAGAGGAGATGGCTCAATGGCCAGGCAGGGGGAACCATTATATTCAAGGTGTTTAGAGACAGCGTCATTTCACCTGGCAACGCTTGGACCTTAGACCTAACTTGAGGAGGTAGGGAATTATAGCAAGAGCTGGGCATGTAGATGAGGGATATACATTTTTAAATATAGTATACATTTAATCTAATTTTTTATTGTCCTATCATGATGTAAAGATCCCCAACCCTATATCCTGGACACCCACCTGAGTGACCCATACACCAAAGAGAAGTTCCCATCTATTTTATGGACCTGCTGTGAGTATGCAGCCTAAACAGAGAAATAAATGCGGTCAGAGACCTACTTGAGCAGCACCGCCCCCTCAAGATTCTGAGCCTGCCTGGCAGGGTTGGTCCTACAAAGCCAGAGCCCCCTGATGGTAGAGCATTATATACAAGGACATTCTCAAAGCTGCTAATGAGAACCTTGACAACCTTTTACCTAGCCGGTGGGGATTCCGGTGGGGTACCCCCACCCAGGTAGTGGCAGTGCTGGCAACACTGGCTGCAGTAACCCATGGGGAGGGGGTCACACTCGGACAATCAGAGAGGGGGTTTATCATTGTGGCCCAGGTGGCACAAAATAATCAAAGGTCTGACTGCACGGAGATGCTTGGGAAAAATTGTTACAACGGGGCACCAGAGTGTTTGTGTCTCAGGTGAAGAGGGTGGATCTGATCTCCATCACCTAGGACTTGACATAGATTAAGTAGATTAATCAAATCTCACATTGTTGTCAATTTCTGCTCAATGTTGCATGCTTTCTCAATCAACTGTACCTGTATGTGCACTCGTAAATCAGGTCCTTTCTTGAGTTGGGCTCTGGGATATAACAACCGTTGAGTATCTGATTTTATGGTGGATTGTGGAGGAGGGGGGTTGAGTGTGTTGGGGTATGTGAGTATGTGCGTGTGTGTTTGTCCGGCGTCTGTTGTGGGGGGGGGGGGGGGGGGGGGGGACGAAATATACTTCTCCCATGGGCAAAGAAATTCAAAAGGGGTGATGATATTAATTAATAGTAATTTCGATTCGAATGTGCAAATTGTCCAAATAGAAATGCAAGGTAGATGGATTATTTTAAATATGTTATTGGACAATAAACAGATATGGCTCATTAACATTTACGGACCAAATAATGATGATCCACACTTCTTTGACAATATATATAATTAATTATCAACCCTGCAAGCAATTCAAGACAATATTATTATGGTGGGGGATTATAATACTGTTTTAAATAGCTCAATGGACCATAAAGGAAATCACACTACAAACAATCCCCCTCATGCTCTTAAGGAAATTGTGAATGTCATGGATACATTAGAACTAGTAGATATATGGAGGTTTAAATATCCTGATCTAGTGAGATATACATGGCGGAGACTCAATCAAGCTAGTCGTCTTGACTTCTTTCTTATCTCATTCTCATTGGCACCAAAAGTTTTAAAAGTGTTGATAGGGGACAGAATGCGGCCGGACCATCATATAATTGGCATATACATTACTCTTACTGAATTTCCACATGGGCGAGGATATTGGACATTTAATCAAAGCCTATTGGATGATAATTAATTTTTAACTAGGACAAAGGAATTTATAACTGACTTTTTCCGACATAACATAGGTACAGCAAATCCCCTTATTGTATGGGACACCTTTAAATGTGCCTTTAGAGGCCATGCAATTCAGTACTCATCTCGAAAACAAAAGCAATTTAGGTCAAAAGAGTTATAATATATAATATAATAATAATAATATAATATAATAAGTTATTTATAAGTTTATACTAACAAAGGAATTAGAAAGTCTAACAGAACAGATAGATGGCAATAAAAACAGTAACATAGAGGCTCAGAATAAATTAGAAGAAAAACAAAAAGAAATGGAGAAACTTATTCAAGAAAGTGTAATATATTATAAAAATAAAGCAAACTGGATGGAATATGGGGAAAAATGCACCAAATTATTTTTTTATCTTCAACATAGGAATGCTACCAAAAATAATTTAATGAAACTGGTTACAATTAACCCATGATTCACCAAATTATATCTTGAAGGAGGAAACAAGGTACTTTAAGCATATGTTTTCGTTTCAGTCACCTCCATCTCCTCTAACTGAAGCTAATTGTAGAGATGTTTTTTCTATTGATAATGTAAAATTAACAGAAACAGAAAGACTCATGTGAAGGTGAAATTACAGAGGAGGAACTTCTGAATGCAATTAAAGACTTTAAGTCCGGGAAAACCCCAGGGTTGGATGGCATACCAGTCGAAGTATACCAAACCTTTTTTGATATACTAAGAGGACCATTATTAGAATGTTTTAACCACTCCTATGTAAATGATAGATTATCTGACACTCAAGAAGAAGATCTCATTATTACTGAAACAGGATACAAGTGGAAAATATAAAGATCCAGTCCATTAAAAAAATTGTAGGTGTTGTGATTGTAGGTGTTGTGATGCAAAAATTCTAGCAAAATGTATAGCGCATAGAATTAAAAAGTTATTGTTGGATATTATTCATTCTAATCAGACAGGTTTTTTACATGGAAGATACATTGGAGATAATATAAGGCAAGTATTGGAAACAATAGAACATTATGGAAAATATGATAAACCAGCCCTGCTATTTATAGCAGACTTCGAAAAGGCATTTGATAAAGTACGACTGGGGTTTATATATAAATGCCTGGAGCATTTCAATTTTGGTGAATCTCTTATAAAACGGGTCAAAATCATGTATAGTAACCCTAGGTGTAAAATAGTAAATAATGGCTATTTCTCAGAATGTGTTAAACTGTCAACAGGAGTGAAACAAGATTGTCCACTATCGGCATTTCTATTTATTGTGGCCATCGAGATGTTAGCTATTAAAATCAGATCCAACAATAATATCAGGGGATTAGAAATCCAGGGCTTAAAAACAAAGGTGTCATTGTACGCAAAGGTATCATTGTACGCTGATGATCATGTTTTCTTTTAAATCCACAACTAGAATCACTCCACAGCCTCATAGAGGATCTAGATACATCTAACCTCTCTGGATTACAACCAAATTATGACAAATGTACTATATTACGTATTGGATCAATTCAAAATAAAATTGTTACATTGCCATGTAGTTTACCAATAAAATGGTCTGATGGTGATGTGGATATACTCGGAATGCATATCCCAAAGGAAATAAATGATCTCACTTCAATAAATTATAATAGAAAGTTAGCAAAAATAGATAAGATCTTGCTACCATGGAAAGGTGGGTGCCTGTCAATTTGTGGAAAAATCCCCCTGATTAACTCTTTAGTATTATCCCAGTTTACCTATTTGCTTATGGTCTTGCCTACACCTAGCGAACAGTTTTTTAATTATATGAGAAAAAAATATTCAATTTTATTTGGAACGGCAAGCCAGACAAAATTAAACGGGCCTATTTATATAATGAATATGAATTCGGAGGACAGAAATTATTAAATATTAAAGCATTAGACCTATCACTAAAAGCTTCAGTCATACAAAAATTATACTTAAATCCGAACTGGTTCTCTAGCAAACTAGTAAGATTGTCTCACCCAATGTTCAAGAATGGCCTTTTTCCCTTTATTCAGATTACAAACACTCACTTTCAGTTATTTGAAAGGGAAATCATCTCCCAGATATCACTATTTCTAAAACAAGCCATAGAAAGTTAGTTGCAATTTCAATTTAATCCTCAGATTAAACGGAAACGACAGAACAAATAATGCAACAAATATTGCGCCAACAGTTGTTGCCTTCCCACCAAGCTGCTTGCCTATTGTCCTGTAGCCCATTCCAGCCTTGTGGAGGTCTACAATTTTATCCCTGATGTCCTTACACAGCTCTCTGGTCTTGGCCATTGTGGAGAGGTTGGAGTCTGTTTGATTGAGTGTGTGGACAGGTGTCTTTTATACAGGTAACGCGTTCAAACAGGTCCAGTTAATACAGGTAATGAGTGAAGAACAGGAGGGCTTCTTAAAGAAAAACTAACAGGTCTGTGAGAGCCGGAAATCTTACTGGTTGGTAGGTGATCAAATACTTATGTCATGCAATAAAATGCAAATTAATTACTTAAAAATCATACAATGTGATTTTCAGGATTTGTGTTTTCGATTCCGTCTCTCACAGTTGATGTGTACCTATGATAAAAATTACAGACCTCTACATGCTTTGTAAGTAGGAAAACCTGCAAAATCGGCAGTGTATCAAATACTTGTTCTCCCCACTGTATGTCATGCAATAAAATGCAAATTAATTACTTAAAAATCATACAATGTGATTTTCTGGATTTTTGTTTTAGATTCTGTCTCTCACAGTTGAAGTGTACCTATGATAATAATTACAGACCTCTACATGCTTTGTAAGTAGGAAAACCTGCAAAATCGGCAGTGTATCAAATACTTGTTCTCCCCACTGTATATATATGTATGTATGTGTGTGTATATATATATATATAAACATGGGGGATTGGAAGTGATGCAGATAATTACATTGATGGAAGTTACAATCTATCTGCAATATTAAGCTGATCTATCCCCCCCCCCCAAAAAAAAAAAAAAAAGAAGAAAAAGAGCTGGGCATGGCCCCATATCTTCCATTGGATTTCGGATCAAGCCTCTAGCTAGCCAAGAATGTGTGCAACACAGATTCCTAAATAACCCCCATGATGGCAGAGACAGTGGAAGGCAGAGGAGAGCTTGGTGCATAATCAAAAAAGAATCAAGTGATAAAAACGGATAAAAAAGCAACATGGCCAGCATCGGCAGAGGGACCAGATTGAGACAGTAAAGCCATACTCCCCTCAGTCTGTAGATATGGAGGTGTATCTAAGTGTTTAAATGTTGGTGGGTAATTGGACATGCCCCATAACCCTGTCTAATTTTTCACTTGGCTAAGTGCTGCTGGCAACCCCAGAGCAGATCCTGGCTGTATGCAGACCACTTGGAACGCCCACATGATGCTGGCTTGTGAGAAAACACAGTATGGCCTTCATGAGAGGATTCACCACAACAGAGATGAAGAGTTTTAGATGAAGATGGCTCCAAATGGGGATGTCCTGATTTACTCTTTCTACAACAGGATATTACTATACTGAACAGAAATATAAACGCAACATGTAAAGTGTTGGTCCCATGTTTCATGAGCTGAAATAAAAGATCCCAGACATTTTCCATATGCACAAAAAGCTTATTTCTCTCAAATGTTTGTTTACATCCCTGTTAGTGAGCATTTCTCCTTTGCTAAGATAATCCATCCACCTGACAGGTGTGGCATATCAAGAAGCTGATTAAACAGCATGATCATTACACAGGTGCACCTTGTGCTGGGGACAATAAAAGGCCTGCTGAAAAAGATTGGCATGCTGACTGCAGGAATGTCTACCAGAGCTGTTGCCAGACAATTTAATGTTCATTTCTCTACCATAAGCCACCTCCAACGTTGTTTTAGCGAATTTGGCAGTATGTCCAACCGGCCTCACAACCACAGACCACATGTAACCATGCCAGCCCAGGACCTCCACATTCGGCTTCTTCACCTGCGGGATCGTCTGAGACCAGCCACCCGGACAGCTGATGAAACTGAGGAGTATTTCTGTCTGAAATAAAACCCTCTTGTGGTGAAAAACTAATTCTGATTGTCTGGGTCTGGCTGCGCCCCTGCCCAGACATGTGAAATCCATATATTAGGGCCTAATTTATTTATTTCAATTGACTGATTTCCTTATATGAACTGTAACTCAGTAAAATCGTTTAAATTGTTGCATATATATTTTTGTTCAGTATATTTTACTTTCAGTATTACTGAAGTAGGAAGACAGTTGTGGTTTAATGATGTGGTTAAATGGGCAACAGGAACAGGGCAGAGCCACTATCCACCCCTCCTCACCTCCACCCCATCCCCACCCTGGGAAGCCTCTTACAGTCACTGTAGTGATGCCTGGGAAGAGCCGCAGCAGACCCACGTTACGGTTCATCGGAGTGCTCACTCTGAACTGTGTGGTCGTGTTCGCCCTCCTCACCGTGTCCCAGTTAACTGCGGGGGAGAGGGAGAGAGTTCAGTGAAAACATCCATCTATCGGCCACATCAAAGATTTGACTTGATATAGATATGAGTACATAACAGGACAGAGCCAGTATGATTACTTTTAATATCTACTTCAGCGGTGGCCAGAGGAGAAAGGTTAGGAGAGTTGAAGGCATAGAAACTCCCAGCGTCCACCTTGGTCACACGGTTCCCTCGGTACAGCTTGTGATGGAAATACAGACACACCTACAGAGAATCAGATGGGGAATGAATGAAACCTCATAATAGATCATCTATACTATGGGTGTAGTATATATATATATATATATATATATATATATATATATATATATATATATATATATATATATATATATATATATATATTCCCTTCAACAGCCACAATGCTAAGGTAAATTAGCGCTTGGCTATTTTGTGCTATTGATTTAACAGAGCATATGACAGAGCCTTTGATAAAACGCAATTACAACTACATTTCCTCATATCTTCATTTAAAATGTATAATTCCATATTTATTGATAGCAGCACATTCTCTAGATACAGCATTAGATAAAGGCCTCAGAGAGTGTGTACGTGAGTTATTCTGTGACTCTTAAAGACAAACGCCCTTTGACACAACTCTGAAGTATCATCTGGCAGTTTCAGGTCAGGTCCTGTATTGCGACACTCACACATTCTCATGCTTTACTGAACAGTCTTGTTAGACAAGAGGTTTAAGGCTTTTGGTGCCTATTGTCTGACAACATAGTTCATCCTCACACCTTTATCAATCAGGTATGACATAGCCTCTACTATCTCAGTGGATTTGATTTATGTTGAAATTCACATGAAGTTATATCACAAAAGCTCTTATCCACAACAGCCTAAAAAGCTAGACAGACACTCTTCAAGATGAAAAATAATTTAAATATGAAAGACATGCAATGGGGAATTGGTCTGATATAAATAATAGCAACTGGGAATTAAGGATTTTCTTCATCAACACTTGATGATTCAACATAAATTCACATTCAAAAACAAGTACAGGTGACTTGCAGGCAACTGAGCTACCAAGAAGCCTCCCTGCACTACTCACCTCAGGAATCACAAACTGACCGGCGATCAGCAGCGCCCCCAAGAGGTTGTCTATTCCATCGTTCCTCATCTCATAGATCGGCACCTGCAAGAGGTCATACAGTGAGGGAAAAAATAATTTGATCCCCTGCTGATTTTGTACGTTTGCCCACTGACAAAGAAATTATCAGTCTATAATTTTAATGGTAGGTTTATTTGAACAGTGAGAGACAGAATAACAACAACAAAATCCAGAAAAACGCATGTCACAAATGTTATACATTTATTTGCATTTTAATGAGGTAAATAAGTATTTTACCCCCTCTCAATCAGAAAGATTTCTGGCTCCCAGGTGTCATTTATACAGGTAACGAGCTGAGATTAGGAGCACACTCTTAAAGGGAGTGCTCCTAATCTCAGTTTGTTACCTATATAAAAGACACCTGTCCACAGAAACAATCAATCAATCAGATTCCAAACTCTCCACCATGGCCAAGACCATAGAGCTCTCCAAGGATGTCAGAGACAAGATTGTAGACCTACACAAGGCTGGAATGGGCTACAAGACCATCGCCAAGCAGCTTGGTGAGAAGGTGACAACAGTTGGTGCGATTATTCGCAAATGGAAGAAACACAAAAGAACTGTCAATCTCCCTCGGCCTGGGGCTCCATGCAAGATCTCACCTTGTGGAGTTGCAATGATCATGAGAACGGTGTGGAATCAGCCCAGAACTACACGGGAGGATCTTGTCAATGATCTCAAGGCAGCTGGGACCATAGTCACCAAGAAAACAATTGGTAACACACTACGCCGTGAAGGACTGAAATCCTGCAGCGCCCGCAAGGTCCCCCTGCTCAAGAAAGCACATATACAGGCCCGGCTGAAGTTTGCCAATGAACATCTGAATGATTCAGAGGAGAACTGGGTGAAAGTGTTGTGGTCAGATGAGACCTAAAATCGAGCTCTTTGGCATCAACTCAACTCGCCGTGTTTGGAGGACGAGGAATGCTGCCTATGACCCCAAAAACACCATCCCCACCATCAAACATGGAGGTGGAAACATTATGCTTTGGGGGTGTTTTTCTACTATGGGGACAGGACAACTTCACCGCATCAAAGGGACGATGGACGGGGCCATGTACCATCAAATCTTGGATGAGAACCTCCATCCCTCAGCCAGGGCATTGAAAATGGGTCATGGATAGGTATTCCAGCATGACAATGATCCAAAACACACGGCCAAGGCAACAAAGGAGTGGCTCAAGAAGAAGCACATTAAGGTCCTTGAGTGGCCTAGCCAGTCTCCAGACCTTAATCCCATAGAAAATCTGTGGAGGGAGCTGAAGGTTCGAGTTGCCAAATGTCAGCCTCGAAACCTTAATGACTTGGAGAAGATCTGCAAAGAGGAGTGGGACAAAATCCCTCCTGAGATGTGTGCAAACCTGGTGGCCAACTACAAGAAACGTCTGACCTCTGTGATTGCCAACAAGGGTTTTGCCACCAAGTACTAAGTCATGTTTTGCAGAGGGGTCAAATACTTATTCCCCTCATTAAAATGCAAATCAATTTATAACATTTTTGACATGTGTTTTTCTTGATTATTTTTTTGTTATTCTGTCTCTCACTGTTCAAATAAACCTACCATTAAAATTATAGACTGATCATGTCTTTGTCAGTGGGCAAACTTACAAAATCAGTAGGGGATCAAATACTTTTTTCCCCTCACTGTATAAACAACATATCACCCTTCTGTTATCTTATCTTTATGAAGCAGTTCAACCATAAGGATGGCAGGTGTACCTGTGAGCCTGTGAGGATGACAGGCTTCCCCAGGTGCTCACACATGAAGGACAGAGCAGATGCAGTGTAGGCCATGGTGTCAGTGCCATGGAGGATGACAAAACCGGCATAATTCTCATAGTGTTTCTGGAACCAAGAGACAATAAAGAGAACAGGATCAGACTTTAATCAAAGTTCCAAGGTCAAAATGTGTAGCCTACATCTTGCCACAGGCTTTTTGAAATTACTACTGTATTTATTACAAAAGCACCAGTACAGTACCACAAACAGTATGGTTACATAAAAAAGAAAGTGATAACTGATTTTTACTTCAGTGAATTATTTGAGGCTGTTGTGTTATTGTAATACATTATGTTTTATCATAAAGTCAGGGTTATGGTTAGTGAGAGATAGAAAATGACAACACCAAGTACCTCAATGTCCTTCCCAATTGTACCCCAGTCATCTGCGGTTATATTGCAAGAGTCCAGCAAAGGGCTGTACTCTAAAACAGTGTACACTATCCTCTTATTCAGTTTTGACAGCCTGGGAAAAGACACATGTTTACTATGAGTCACAATCATCCAATAATAAACAAATCACAGAAAAAACACCCAAAGAAACGCAGTGTATCTAAAACAGAGCAGAAAGTTTACACAGAGACACATAAACAATAAATGTTAACAAATGAGGCGATCACATTTTTAAAAAAAAGGAAATCACTTTAGGGGGTCTTTGTCTTGGATGTTTTGTTTACTCTACAAACGCAGTGAGACTTGGTTCTGTTTACCTGAGAGAGGAAAAAGGCTGAAGATAAAGAAAGGAAAAGAGTGAGACAAGCCTACATTATGAAGCCAGACAAAGTCTATTTGGTCAGGCCTTCTATTTCAGCAGCAGGGTGCCCAAACCAGTTCCAAAGCGCGAGGTGTGAATTATGGACGTGTGATGGAGGGGGCATGGATTAGCTCATTTTAGAGGGGAAGGGGGAGACGCCCTGGGAATTTTTGCCGTTTCTTCTGCTCAGTATGACACTGTATGGGGAGTTACTCATTTGAGGATGTTCTGAGGGGTGGTTGTTAGAGGTGTGGAAGGGGGGTGACTAGTTAGATCTCTGCGTCGCTATAAAAAAGGGGTGGGTTCATGTCTTAGCGAGACCCCATGTTCTAATTACAGGGTCAGTTGCTCCTGGCCTGCTATACATATTAATGACCTAGCACCCTAATAAGAGTGTGCCCCTGCTAAGCAGCTGTGAAAAGATGTTCCTCTTAATCTCCCTTTTTAAGACATGGGATGGGACACGGCTACCCCCCACATTACCATAGGACAACTAGAAACACGGATGGGGGTGCATATCATCCCCTTGTTGGGGGTTCAATAGAACAGCAGGGGGAATAGCAAGCTCACCCCTCAGCACCTAACCAGAGGCCTAAAGACACCACCCTAATTAGCCCTGGCTCCACACACAATCCTCAAACATATGTTGTTGATAATCTTAAAGCGATAGTGCCGTTGGAAACAATATTAAAATCACAAATTATTCATTTATCTCCTGGTGTAGCCGACGGTGTGGCAGGGAAACAGGTATTAGCATACCGAGGATAGGATGCTGCCCCCTGGCCTAGCCTGCTGATGAGGAGCAGAGTGGTGGGAGGGGTTAGGGGCAAACGGGAGGTTGGGGTAAAGGCTTCCCACAGAGAATTTCACTACTGCTTTTCACTCACAGCTTTTCAATAAATCAATAAACCAATTTCCTACTGCACAGACTTCAAAATTCAAGCAATGTTAGGATATAATGATATCAGCTTTGCCAATGTTATTTCAAGTCCACTGCACACGCTCACTGCAAAGTGCAAACAAAATAATTCAGGCATTAGGGACATTTATTAGCAATGTTTAGTGACAGTTAGTTTGTGTTAATCAACATTAACTTGCCGCCACACAAAGGAATATAATGATGGTAATAATGAAAATGAACCTTACAGAAGCAAGGAGGAAAGAGGATGTTTGAATAAACTGCTGAACTTAATGAGACTGATAGAATTAGTTCGGGGGACGGAAGGTGATGTCCTATGAATCCCCTGTGAGGGGGTGAGGAATGGAGGGCTAGGGAGGTGACATACGTTCTCCAAACAAACACTATCATGATCCAAGCAAGCACAGTGCCAGCAGCCCCCCTCCACACATATGCACACGCAAGCACACACAAACAGTCTCGCTCATACTAGTTTGAAAAATACTGTGCTTGTGTAGTCCTAGTATAGTCCCCTATAACCCAGCCCCACCCTGCCCCCGCCAGCCTTTATCTGTGGTCCAGTGCTGCTCTGAGTGGGTTTGAGGTTGAGGGGCTGAGCCCTGCCTGTGTGTCTGTATGGATTAGCATGCAGGCAGGCAGGGGCGCCCCAATGCCCCCGACACCGCTGCTGGGAGGGATTTGACCCAAGGTTCCTTGGTCTGGGCTCAGCCTCCATCTGGAGGGGCGATAGCAGGTAGCCCTTGGACCCGACCTGCCAGGACCCCATTCAGCAGAGGGCCCTCTCGCTGCTCCTGAACACACAGACCCAGACTACAAGGATGAAACACGCTTAACACAGATTAGCCTCGCTCCCTGCCAGCGTGACACCAGCAACCCCTCACAGGCCTATTCACTCCCTGACAGCAGAAAAGCTCCTGGGGATGCTTAGAGTATTACAGAAATTGTGAGAACTCGACTGTGCTGCACTGTTTTTAGCTAGACATGCACCAATGAGATTACCTCTCTCTCCAGCGGGAGCCAAGCGAAGTTTCTGAAGAGATGGAACAAGGGCATACGGTCAGGCACCCGTGAAAACCACTACAGATATGCTGCTGCACAACTCCCTGCAGGTGTGTGCTCCTAGGATCACTCCCTGATAGATTCAAACACAGACACGACTGAGCAGCAAACTGTTCCTGCCAGGCACGTTTTGACACCAGGTGGGACGGATACAGAGGAATCAAACCACTCTCAGACACACAGCATAGTGTAGCGCAGGCATACAGTATGCTACCAGTACTACAGGAGCCTTTTATAGTTCATCAGCGTGGTGTGTCGGCATCCTGTCAAAACAATACAGAGAGTGACATGTTCCCAGTCATGCAGGGAATAGAAATGTGTGTGATATCCCCAGCTAAGAAGTTTACAGCCGTAGGCCTACTGCTATGGAGGAGTCATACTGAACTGATTTTGGGGAGGATCTCAACCTTTATCCTGACGTGATACGGTGTGCACTACAACTTCTTTTTTCAAGGAACCTTTGAAAAAGCCTTGTTTGCCTTGTAGATTGAAAAAGCCTTGAAATAAAATCTGGCAATGGTTATAAAACAGGAAGCAGAGCTTCTGTCTTGTCTTTGAATGTGACAGTCAAATTAAGCAGCTATTCTAATCTAGTTAGTACAATAATAATAAGCCATTTAGCAGACGCTTTTATCCAAAGCGACTTACAGTCATGCGTGCATACATTTTTTTTGTGTATGGGTGGTCCCGGGGATCGAACCCACTACCCTGGCGTTACAAGCGCCGTGCTCTACCAGCTGAGCTACAGAGGACCACAACGACCACATAGACTCCTGTGTAAAGAAATGGTAAAGGCGTGAAAATGAATGTATCGGTAGTAGCGGTAGGTAGAGGTTCCTTTCATATATTTCTATACGACCAGATATAACTACTATTAGCCTAGTCTGTTAGTCTTTTATTACCTGTTTTAAACTCCAAGCTCGCTATCTGAAGTTTTTCAGTCAAATAGCACAAGGCTACATTAGTCTAAATCTACAGTGATGAGGTGTTACATGGAGGTCAAACAGTACGCTTTTCACAGTTTAAATGATTATACACTGTACGAAGATTGTACAATAAAGTAAAACATCCCAACATTTAACTCCAGCCTACATATTAATAACAGCAAAGGCAAAGTAAAAAGAAAGAGAATAAACAGAAATAGGGCTAGAAGGCTGCAGAGGAGCCCTGGAGAGGTGGGGTGTATGGGTGACTTACGGCAGGACCAGGGTGTTCTCCTGTAGGCCACTCGTGCTGTAGTGGTCGTACATACGGGTCTGCAGGGCATACTGCTCATCATGGAGGGTGGGAAGCTTTCGTAGGGCCTTCACAAACACATTAGGCTCTGGGGACAGCACTGTGGATGAGAGACAGAGAGACACAGAGAGAGAAGGTGATGTTACCATTAGAGTACGGAGTAACAAATCAGTCAGAGTTCAGTTAGGGTGAGCTCAACAATAGCCTACATAGATCTGAGTTTATTGCTGTTTATTTTGTATAGAGAGGGCTCTGACATAGCCTAGGGACCTCGAGTTGAGAGTGTAGCAGTGTGGTAGAGTCTAGTGCCAGGACAATACCAGTATCACGATACTCGTTAGTATCGTGGCAAGGAAACAAAACACTAAGATAATTTAACTTCTTTAGGAAAACAGCCCTGATGTTGGAAACAAACATCATGTTGTCATCCAGAGTCACATGTATTTATTTCCCAAGCTATAGCACACAATATGTTACATACAGCAGGTTTTTAAAAGGACCAAAGAAGTTAATCTACTTCGTGTCTTCATTTTTGCCATAGAAAAAAATGATTGCGATTGTCCCGGCCCTAGTAGAGTCTACATTCTTGTTAATTATGCAAGTCAAACAGAAAGACCTCGAGAGCATTTTTGCAATAATGCAAATAAATAAAAGAAAATATCTAAATAATCAAAGTAATTTCAGGGGGAATTATCAGGTTTACCATTCCCTGTTAATCACTCCTTGTGTTATACTCAACCCTAGTGGCAAACTTGAGAATCACATCAATATGAAAAGTAGGCTGTGTTTGAAAATGGTTCTAATCATTCATGTATTGTGAAATGTTTTATATAACTCATCATAGGACAACAGCCCTCCAGAATATGCTAATGTATTAACCCAGGTACAGACCCCGGGTCTTCAATGGTAAATGAGTTACCAATGAGTGCCTTTTCCAATAAATGAGTTCCTAAAGTGGGAGAAGGCTGCAGGCTGCGTGGCATACTGGCACGTGACTACTAATGCGTTTCAATGGGAGAGATGAGGCAGGGCAGCTGAGAGGCGTGAAACCTGAGTCAAGCCACTGGAATGAAACGGCTGATTGCATAAAGACCAAACTTTTGACTTCCAAACTGAACCTTTGGAATGGTGTGATTATACAGTAGGCCCTATACCTAGAAACTAAGGTCACGTTAATTATGGTCTAGTGTTTACTGTTTACTCCTAGTACCATCAACAGCAGTGGATGCTGAATGATATGAGAAGGTCTGGTCAGCCTAGAGCAGTGTTCCCCAACTGGTGGCCCGCAGGTGATTTTATTTGGCCCCCCAAGTTTTCTTAGCAAATAGAGAGATAAACAGTATGTGATCATCGACAAATGTAAACAACGTTAGAAATTATTATGTTTTAGTCAAATATTATATCCGTTTGGGCTTCTTGCGGTCAATTTGCAGTCTACGAATTATTTGTAATTATGTTCTGCCCCCCTGACTATCCGTTCAAGAAACAAATCGTCCTGCGGCTGAATCTAGTTGATGATCCCTGGCCTAGACATACCATTCATCAGACATTTTATCCAAGTTGCTTAACAATTAACACGTGTCCTTGCCGTAAAAACGATTCTTAATTCTTTCCCATTTCAGGAAATGAATTATACAGAAAACAATAGAAATTAAAAGAAGCAAAACTGGAGTTGAAGAGATAGGCAGATATAAAAGTTTCAGTGGTGTATCACACTAGCAAAATACCTGCTTGGTTGGGTTGTTTAAGTCAACAAAAATCTTGATTTATCTTTGTAAGGGTGTGTGGATGAAAGATTCTAATTCAGCTGATCTTGTCCTCTGGAATTCCTATGCAAGACTGACAAATGGCAGTGGTGAACACTATCATTTAGGTCAACTGTGACTGATTGGACAGTTAACCAGTATTGAAGCATGCAAGACCTTTGGTTGTTTTGTACTCTCAACAAACATAATATTATGTAGTTTGGTCCTGCTGTTGCCCAATCTTGTACGTCACAGCTGGTTATTCATTAGTTTAACGTTAGGGGAGTACACATCCATCCACGTGTTCTCAAATTCATCTTACAATGGGGAAGGAAGTGAGTTGAAACTAATTATGCGTGGACAAACATGACCATGATTTTCAAGGTGCAATATATGTTGCAAGAAGTTGTCATGAACTTTTAAGGGTTCGCAGCTGTAAGCACCACTTACCGGTGGGACCACGTGAAAGACAATCCCGACGCTCTGTTTTATCATTTAGAAATGTCAATAATCATCATTTGTGATACGGTTTTCAAAACATATGGAACTTATCTTTCGTATCAGCAAGAAATAATCAAATATATATATATTACTATAACAGGTTTGCACAGATCCATACGGCTGTGTGCCTCCAGCTGACGAACTACACTTCTGCTACACTTCCTCGCCAGTTACTCTTACACACAGGTGTTTGAGCATGCTAGATAGCCAATTAGCACTTAGCACAGGGGTTGTTCCATGTCATTTCAGCAAGCCATGACAGCCACCATCTCAGATTGTTCTGAAATTGTTTCCCGTAGTTAGAAACAGATAAGATTAGCATTCCTGCAACATTATTTTCTTGAAATTAAGCTAATTGATTGCACCCAAATTGGCCATTTAAATTTTAGGATTCACATAATATTCAAAAAATATAGTACCCAACATCTAATTTGAAAGCATCCCAACCTCCAAACCTTGAAACTTCTTTCTAACAATGAGTAAGACATGAGGAATCCAAATAAATGGTCAAAAGCCCCTCACGGACCCCCCACATTCATCCCACCCCAACAACAAGTATATAGTATCAGTTCTTTATGTCTGACAAGTAGTATGGAGCTGTCACGTGACACGACGGCGTATTGAACACACAGCGGTGCGAATCACCTCAAGATTAAAACGTAATATTCAATATCAGTAAGTTAGACTAAATATTAGCACTTCATATACTCGTGGGTAATAACATTCAATCTGGATAATAACGCAAAACAAATCATAACGCTAGAGAAATGTATCGACAAATATTACAACAACAAGCAACACTCAAACATGACGGAGGATAAACGAGGAGAATCAATCTCCAAGAGAAAACGCGACTCCTCGACGGATACAGATGACTTATGCTTTTCACCACTGGGACTGGTAAGTGTGGAAAGCAATCTGTTGAAGTCAATAAATGACAAACTGGGCATACTAGAGTTGGTCAGTAAGGATGTAAAGGAGTTGAAGGCAAGTCTTGAAATGAGTGATGAAAAAGCTGCGATAACGTAGAAAGATACAAAAAAGCTAAAAGGGACAGTCACTAAGATAGAAACTGATGTTAAGGAACTTAAAAGGGAGAACAACTTTCTGAGAGAAGCCTTACTAGACATACAGACTAGATTGATGAGAGAAAATCTAGTACTTACGGTTATCCAAGAAAAAGAAGGAGAGGTTACCTAAAAATTGTGAAGGACTTCTTTCTTACAGTGCTTCAAATCCCACTCGATGTTGTCGAAAAAATCCAACTCGAACGTGTACACCGTTTCAGACAAAGAGGACAGAGATATGAGCGTCCAATCTTTGCCAAATTTGCTTTCTTTAAGGATAAAGTAATGGTTAAAAGCCTAGGTAAAAGACTTGCTCGCACGAAAGTAGGCATGAATGATCAGTTCCCGAGGGAGATTGCAGAACGGTGCAAAGTTCTGTACCCAATCTTCAAGGAAAATAGATTAAAAGAGAAGCGTGTTGCTTCTTATCGTAGTCGATAATCTGTATATTGACAACCAAATGATCCGCGACACAAAGACTACTCCATGGCTATTCTGAAAGTTCTAATAGAGGAGTCAAATAATGGAACACCCAATACTAGCCATGGTAGGGATTGTAAAAATAATACACATTTATAGCATTTATAGTATTTTATAAAGGGATAAGACGGCATTACAAGAAAGGATAACAAGCGAAATAATACTTCAAATATAACTAATTAGAACACAAGTACTCAATCAACATAGTGGAGATAAAAACATAGCAAACAGAAGATATAGAAGGCACAGTATGTGGGTAAGTGTGGATGTATTGTGATGGAAGGTGTGGTGTGCGTTTTTGTGTTTGGAAAAGTGTGGCGTTAAGTGAGTGAGAAAGGAAACTGTGCATATCCCAGAACCAATGTGTGTCTGTGAGCAGGGGTTGTGAGAGAGAGCTTTCAGTTTTGTGCAGATGAGGGATATACATTTTAAAATAAGAAAACATCTAATTTATTTTTTATTGTCCTATCATGATGGAACGGTCCCCAACCCTATATCCTAGACACCCACCTGAGCAACCCATACACCAAAGAGAAGTCCCCATCTGTTTTATGGGCCTGCTGTAAGTTGCCTACATGCAGCCAAAACAGAAAGATATATGCGGAAAGAGACCTACTAGAGCAGCACCGCCCCCTCAAGATTCTGAGCCTGCCTGGCAGGGTTGGTCCAGAGCCCCCTGATGGGAGAACATACTATAAATTACAAGGACATTTTCAAAGCTGCTAATGAGAACCTTGACGAACTTGTACCTAGCCGGTGGGGATTCCGGTGGGGTACCCCACCCAGGTAGTGGCAATGCTGGCAACACTGGCTGCAGTAATCCATTGGGAGGGGGTCACACTCTGACAATCAGAGAGGGGGCATATTTTTGTGGCCCTTGTGGCACAAAATAATCAAATGTCTGACTGCACGGAGATGCTTGGGAAATGGTTACAACGGGGGACCAGAGTGTTTGTGTTTCAGGGGAAGAGGGTGGATCTGATCTCCATCACCTAGAACTTGACATACGTTAATCAAATCTCACATTTTTGTCAATTTTTGCTCAATCTTGCATGCTTTCTCAAATAGCTGTAACTGTATATGCGTTCGTAAATCAGGTCCTTTCTTGAGTTCGGCACTGGGATGTAACAACCGTTGAGCATCCGAGCTCATGGTTGATTGTGGGGGAAAGGGGTTGAGTGTTTAAGAGTATGTGTGTGTGTGTGTGTGTGTGTGTGTGTGTGTGTGTGTGTGTGTGTGTGTGTGTGTGTGTGTGTGTGTGTGTGTGTGTGTGTGTGTGTGTGTGTGTGTGTGTGTGTGTGTGTG